TTCAATGTCCCCAAAAGTCACGACCTCCGTTGCATCATGAAATGGCCACTTCTAATCACCACACGGCCGTAAGAATCACCTGGGGGATGGACCGTATCTAGAACACAAATGCACGGTCACACTTCCGCCTCTGCCGAGAAGCTGGGGGTCTCAGGGTGTTTCCTAAAGCATGATCCCAGGACTGGCCGGGAAGCTTGTGAAAAGAGGCAAAGCCCTTGGCCCTACTCCTCGCCCAGCCCCAGATGTTCATGAGATAGATAGAGGTCAGGGTCTACAAACTCGTTCTTTCCAGAAACTTCCAGATCATTCTAGTCGGGTTTTTTTGGCAGTACTCTCAAAAGCAAAACAGCAAAGGCCCATCGCTGCCCGGATGACCGTAGATTCCGGAGGAGACTTGAAAAACACTGCCCGCGGGTTTCCGTTACCTGCCCACTCCCGAATAACTGTCCTCGCTGCCATCCCGTACCTGGCCGAGAGAAGCAGAGCGCGCAGAGCCACCGGCCCCCTACACTAGGCGGCTCTGCGACCCCTGAGTGTCCCTTATTCTCTGAGGGTCAGGCCCCTGCTCACCGGGGAATGAAACCCTGCGGCTGAGCGGCTTCCGCGGGTGGCTGTCGGGATCAGCGCCCCGCGCCGGAGTCGCGCGGGCCCAGGGGGCCTCTGCCCACCCCTCCTCTACCGTCCTGGCGCCCTACGCAGTGGGAGCGGGGAGACTCGCATTCCTCGGGTCTCGGCTCAAATGTCACCTTCTCCACGCAGCCCACCGGGGCCGCCCTACTCAGAACTGCCCCTCCTCCTCTGCTCGGCGCTCTGCTCAGCCCCCGCCCCCACTGTACAGCCCCGGCTGCCCTCACCTTCCAGTAACCTACGCCAGGGCCTCGCAGACTTCGTTTCTTTGTCTGTCTCTTCTCACTAGACTGTGGCATCCGGGCGGGCAGGGGCTTTCGTCCGTTTCGTTCACTGGTGGACCCTAAATTCCTAGAAGAGCATCTGGGGCACAGCAGGCGCTCAGTAAGTCCTTCCGGGAGGACGGATGGACGGACCAATGGACAGGGATAAATGTGTGAACTCACAATTTGCCATAGAAGCCGATGGGCCAGTCCCCTCCGATGCCCTTCCAAGTGAGAATTCCTTGCCCTGGAAGAGGCTCAAATACCAGATTTTTACGTTTCCCCTTTTACCTCCAAAATGCTCTGCTTTCTACATAATTCAAGGGTCCTTAAGCAAGACACACATACCAAAGCCGCCTCCCTGTGACAAGGTGCCCTCCCTACTGCGACTGTGTGGGTTGCCTGCCCACGGTGTGGGCGTTGCAGAGGCGAACCAGCAGACGGGGAGCAGGCAGCAGCAGCAGCAGCAAAGGAGGACCCGTGCGCAGGAAGGTGAAAGGCTTCTCTAGCTCCCCCAGCCAGAAAGGTCCCGAAATCTGCCAGTGGAATGACTCCGACCTGGCCTCAAAGAATTCTAGCCAACCCTCCAGCCACAGGTGAGGACAGCACTCGCCCGGGCCAGGGATTCTGCGACCATCAGTCCTACCAATGCCTCTACACACCGGCTGTTGGGGCCAGGTTGAGCCTAAGACAACAGTTAAATGATACTTTTTAAAGCCCATGACTCGATGAAATAAGGTATATGTGAAAGTGCTATGCAAATTCAAATAATATAGAAATATGAATTGTTTTCCTCAGATTTCATTGCTCTGTGTTTTCTATTTTATTTAACAATAAACGTAAAGGAACTTTCTGTTCTGGACAAGATGGAGTAGATGGACTCCTCCCTATTCCTCCTGCTAAACAGAGATAAAAAACCGGAACGTCAGATATAAAACAGAAGACCCTAGAAAGTAGAAGAGGCAGACAGGCTAGTGACTGTGGAGCCTGAGGAAAGCCATGGTGATTAATATTTTCTCTGGATTTTCTCTGGGTTTCATATATCCTAGACCAGGTACCGGAGAAGCAGGCACCCAGAAACAGAAATGGACACAGACAAAGGACCAGGATAGAGGCAGCCTGGCAAGACAGAAAACTCTGGACAGCGACCATCCTACTCTAACCAAGTACCGCAGAGAAAACGGTGACTCTAACTCCGCTCACATCAGCAAAGTCACAGTAGAAAGTCTACCTTGAGCCTAGCTCCCAGCCCCTCCCTGTTGTCATGAGGCACCCCCTCGCAGACTCTCCCTACAAAAGAATGGTCTCCGAGGAAGTAGAGTGGGGAGCAGAGGCATTCATCCTTCACCAGGTTCAGTAGAGACCACATGAAAGCCTGGACTTCCACCCTCACCCAGGGGTAACCAGGCCCTGCCCTCTCGCCCCACCCAGTGCCCTCAGAGAAGGCTGAGTGAGAAGCTGGGACACTGATCACCTTCCAGAGACAAGAGGCCTCCACCTCTAGAGAATCACTGGAGGCCACATGGGGAGCAGTAAGAAGCACCCCTCCCCGTCTTACCCAGGCCTGCTCTAATAGAAAATTTAAATAAGGTCTCATAACCTAACACCCAAAATGTCTAGGTTTTAATAAAAACACTTGCCATGTCATACCAAGAACCAGGAAAAGTTTAGTTTGAATAAGAAAAAACAATCCACAGTTGCCAACATCTAATTGACATGAAGTTAGAAGTAATTGATAAGGATTTTATAGTAAGTATCAAAAAAAGTCTTTCAATGAGCAATTACAAACATGCTCATATAACAACGAAAAACCTCAGCAACATAAAAGAAGATATAAAGAACCAAATGGAGATTTTAGAACTGAAAAATACAATAACCAAAACAAAACTCACTGGATGTGCTCAAAAGCAAAATGGAGAACACAGGAAAAAATGAGCGAACTTGAAGATAGAGCGATAGAAACTACCCAGCACACACACAAAGAAATCCATACCACGATACATCACGGGCCAGCTTCTGAAAACTGAAGACGAAGAAAGCAGGGAGAGAGAAGCAGCACCTTACCTGTACAGGAAAAAACAACGTGAATGACAAGGATTTCTCATCGGAAGCCATGGCAGCCAGAGGAAACGGCGTAACACATCAAATGCTGAAGGAAAAACAAATGCCAACCCAGAATTCTAGATCCAGCAAAACTATCCTCCAGGAACCAAGGGGAAAACAAGACTTTCTCAGATGCCGGAAAACTAAGAGAACTTGTCTCCAGCAGACCTACCCTGAAAGAATGTCTAAAGGATGCTCTTGAAACACAAAGGAAACGGTCAAAGAAAAAGCACTGGCACAGCAGGAAGAAGAAAGAAAAAAGTCATGAGGACGGGGGCGCGGCAGAGGGGACGCAGTCAGCAGCAAAGCAATGGCTCTGTGTAGAGCAAGAAGGATGACAGAGTAATCGCGGGGATCATAAACTATATACATGTCTAACCAATGTACTGTATACTTGAAACTGTAATAAAATAAAATAAAATGCTTAAAAAAAAAAGAAAAAGAAAAAAGAAAAATGGGGGTAAATGTAATAAACTTTCCTTGCCGTCTCGAGTTTTCTAAAAACAAATGTCTGGGTCCTCGAGGAGTCCAAGATGGCTCATTCTCACCCAGTAGGTGGCTGCACCAACTGCAGGTGCACTTAAGAGGCCAGTTCTGTTCTCAAAGCTTCTCAGAGTGGTCCCCGTGCCAGCTGCAGCAGCACCTCCTCAGGAGGCTTGTTCAAACTGTTTCCTGAGTCAGGATTTCTAGAGGTAGGCCCCAGGACTGTGTGTGGAAAGGATTCTTACATACGCTATGGTCTGAAAAGTCCTCAGATCTGAGTTGACCTTTTATTAATAAAGGGTCAAGTTCAGTCACTCAGCGTGAACTTTCGAGGAAGGCGAGAACAAAGTGTTTCACAAGTCCCTGGCCCTGTGCAATCCAGCCTGCAGGAGCAAACTTCAAAATAAAAAAGTAATCGATACTCGGCCTGACGCGAAGGTCATGCACCTCTGCATCATCGTAGGGTGTTGTCCTCGGGAGCGGGGACCACAGAGGGATGTGTCATCTGTGCCTCAGTTTCTTCCTCTATAAGATGGGGCAGCATCTGCCTTTCCGAACTTGTGAGGTCAAAGTGAAGGGCGAAATAGGTGAGCTGTGCTGGGCTTGTAAACGGTCAGTTCTCAGCCAGGGTGAGTGTTTACCCTCCCGTCACAAAGGGCCATCGCGCTGCCCTTTTTTCTTGGAAGTGGCACGTCTCTGCGCTTCACAGACTGGGAAGGCAGACCTGGTCAAAATAAAATGTACTACAACCCCCGTAGCCTTTTGTCGGGGTGGGGCTGCTGGGCAGCCCCAGCATTAAGACAGGAGGCCCCTGACTTCAGAGGGTTGGGAGCCCTGTGAAGATGACAGGACCCTCCCCCCCCACACACACACACACACGGAGCTAACCACGGGTGCCCAGGAGCTGCATGTCCAGAAGCCCCTACAGGTCCCCACTGCTACTGAAGTCCCCTGCACTCACCTCCCTGAGGACACAGCTTTAGGTCTTGTCCACTCTTCACTCACAGGCTGTGGCAGGGGGCTTGCAGAACCCCCTTGACTATCCCTCTAACTAGGAAGGAGGTCTGCAAATAGTAATGGGGGATGGGGCAGAAAGCCCCAAAGCCGTGGGTCAGGATAAGAGAAGAAAGTATCACTGTTTTAAAAACAAAAGTCTCTCCACCAGCCAAACTGAGGGGGCTTTGATTACAAACCCGCTCTGGTGCCACCTGGGTGCCATCAGCGCCACGGGCGATGATGGGCAGCGCCCTTCTCCCGGGTCGGGAAAGGGCAGTGACCAAATTGATGCAGGCGCCGGACGCGTGTCCACCGAGCGGGCCCCTGACCAGGCCAGGCGCTGGGACGCGGCGGCGGGGCGCAGCAGGGTGGCCGGGGGCCGGGC